ATAACCTAAGCCCTAAAAGCCTATTATAATCTATTAGAGCCTAAAACACTAACTAAATAAACGCATCAAAAAATAGATGTGAAATATAATAAAAATAAGAAAATCAAAATATCTTTTAGAATACTCTAACTTGCTAATCAAGATATAATAATCTAGATCACTCACTACCTAAAAGGATCCCATCATTAATAAGAAGGATCTTATTTAACTTTACTAATTAATGAAATACATATTAGATAAATCTTTGCCTTTAAGAAGCAATCAATACAAAATAGGAAACTAATTAAAACAAACAGAATCTTATTTAATGTCATACAAGATCGTTCTTGATGCTTCTTGAATCTTCTTGGACCTTCCAAATAGATCTTTATAAATGCCATTCACGTTCACAAGCATGTATGGGCGTTTCAGACATCCATTTGGGCTTGAATATGGTTGAATCACGTTCTGAAACTCCCATGATCCATAACATGATACATTTGGCCCCAATTTAAAAGATTATAACTCTAATGAACTCCTCTATGCACATAAAATTGTGTTGGGCCTTTAGTAACATTGTAATTGGCTTCAAATGCTCCTTTTGGGCTCTTAGAACATGCTCTTATATTTCTCAAGGTCCAAGTGCTCATATTCTAGTAACTCTCATGCCATGATGGCTTTCAGTGTGGCCTTCTATATGTTAAGTCAAGCTCCGCATGTGTCTGTGTTATCATCCAAGGAATGATCCATATCTTCCTATACGTAAGCATTCTCAAGCTCCGAATTCCTTGAATACTTTGGAGTGCTTGTTGATGAAGCCTTAGTTGTTATGGGCTCTCAAAAATGATTAGTTCTGAATAGGAATGCACTATAGAGGCACGATCAGGGTCGTATCCACTTCAAGGAGCCTAACTTGTTGCTATGCAATCTAAGTGACAAAACCGTGCGGAAAGATAAAATTAGAGGGTTTTAAAATTGAGTTAAATTCCAATGAAATCAAAAAAGAAGTAGAAAAGTCTTTTTGGTCCTTTTCTTTTAGTGAATTAAAACAATAGTGCAAAAAAAATCAAAAGGATAGTTTGTAAACTTAATTGATAAAATGCCCCTTGCAGAATTGGTTAAGCCTTCATTACTTCAAAATATGTTGGGAGTTTACTTTAAAACCAATCTTAGCTAGTTTAGAAAACCTTCCAAACTTAGGTAAATTAGTATATTAATGAAACTTTTGACCCAAAGACTCACAACAAAACTAACCACCCTCGTGAATGAACACTTAGTGAGATTGATGCAATGGTAACAACAGCTTGAACACAATAACTAATTATTCTAGCAAGGCACCATATTCAATCAAACCGAATTTAGATTGAACATCAACCAATATTCACAAGATTAAACATAGGATTCTCATTACAAAGAAAATACCAAAGCATAAATTCTCAACATCCAATCTAAAATGCAGAGATTTAACACAAAACTGAAGTTCAACTTTAACAGCAACACAAAAATTCTAACCAAGAATAATTGAAATACTATCAAAGTAATAGAAAAGATGAAGTAAACCTCCCCAAATTAAGTCCCAAGCTCAGGCCCTTATCAAAACTCCTCAGGATAAAACGCTCTGGCCTCTCATAACCTCAAAAACAACTCCTTTAAGCTCTGAAATCTTAGCACCAGCCATAGCAGATGAAGGTGGATGATGGATGATGCAGAAAACTAATAGAATGAGGTGGAAAGGGGGTGAGAATTGATGGAAATCAATAGGAAAACCTCAAGAACCCTTAAAGAGCCCTAGGAGATGAAAATGGGAATGTCTGGATGGTCTCGTATGGTATATTTCCTAAAATCGCAGTCTGAGGTTTAAAACCTGATTCTGTGTCAGTGTCCCTTTCATCATGACAAAACCCCCAATTCATCGTGACTAAATGATCAAAACGAATAGATGCATTTAGTTGGCCCTTTTCTAGAATTCCTACAATCTGTTGGGCCTTAACTGCAATTTCCTCGAACTTAGGTCCTCTTGAGATATTTTTTCCTTGACCCTTGACCTAAAAATCAATTTAAGTACTTGTAACATCCACTTTAATTTCGTAATTGATGATTAATTAAAATGATGCACAATTTGACAGTTTTGCCCCTACAAAGTGCTTAATAAGAAATTAAACCCACAATTATAAATTACTATAATTCATATCAAAACATGTATTTTAAACTAAATAATTCTTTCAAAAACATGTAATTAGACATGAATAACTACAGTAAAACTTGGTCAAATCAACTCCCCCACACTTAGACATTTGCACTCTTGAGAAAATTAAAAACAGAAATAGCTAGAGTTATGAGAAGACTAGAGTTGGGCACAAATGATAACTAGTGCTTCTCACAACTAATCAAGCATGCATCAAAGACCAATGACAATTCAACTTACTCATGGGATAAATGTGACAAGTCAAATGGTAGTATTCTCCAACAAGCAAAAATAGTAGGAAAAACCATGCGAAGCGATTAAGCAAAACAATCAATTAACCAAAGTGAATAAGTATTGGAGATCACTCAAAAGGTAAAAGTGTATTACTCAACTCACCTTAATTGGGTCGTTTTCTCTCAAGTCCACTTATCAAAACAACTACCATAAGCTTGTAATGGTTCTACTATCTCTACTAAGAATGTAACGATACACTTGATCAAAAGAACTTTAAGGGGTGTAATAATGAATGAGGGCTAAATGGAATGAATGATAGAATGAAATAAAACAAGCACCAATATCCAAAATTGATTTCCAACTAGCTTTTCATTAAAATTCTTGAAGCACAAAACTTTAATCTTTAATCCACCAAGGAATTTGCCTTATTCAAAAATTTTATTCTAAGGATCCATTATTTTTTTCTTTTTTTTTACTAAATATTTTGGCAATTCCAAACCCAAGAAGATAAAGTACAACATCACAGATACAGTAGTAAAAAATATAGCTGGGACTTGAATAAACAATACATGTATTGGTACTTAAATTTGAAGAAGGCTCAAAGGGGTAAACAAGGGTTAAACAAAGTAGCTTGTGTTTGGTTAAAGGGTTAAAAAACAAAAAGAATGGCTTTATCCTATCCAAAACACCAATGCATATGAAGCTTTGACAAAGAAGCAGTACGAGTTCTAGAGAATGTAAGATCAAGTGGAAAAATCACACTAGAAAGGAATTTGGCCACAAATAACTTCCAACAAGGTTAGATCTCTCATGTTCATCCACAATGCTCAATTGAATGCAAGATTAATTCCAATGCATGAATAAATCCACTGAAATTGCAAATCAAAGAATGAAAACCATTTGAAAAGTTTCAACCGTGCATGAGTAAGTTAAGAATTGGAAAGGTTTCAATGTAAAAATTTTTTTTAAAAAAACATGCATCCAAGGTCCAAATGTGGGCGAGTTTCAGTTATACCTCTACACAGTATACGAAATAGCTTTCATGGAAAACATTGCATACTTGTTGTGATTGAAATAATCATTCACTGTGACCATATTAATCAAAGAGCCACAAAAATGCAACTTCATCGTGACTAAAGCAGAAACTAGTCGTGACGAAGCAAGCAGGTAGAGGGTAAAACTCACAAGAATCAACACTTTGTCACAACCAAAGTAACTACTCAATGTGACAAAAATGAAGGTAAAGGAAAAATTAGACGCAATTGAGCACAAACACTCTCCTCCCCTACACTCGAATGCTATAATGTCCTCATTGTAAAAGACAACACCACAAAAACTTGAAGCACCACGAAACACATGAGAATGAGTGAAACATAGTAGAGAGCACTTAAAGCAACATGGAGGTCATACAATTACCATCACAACTTAAAGTCATAAGCAACATCATAAGCAAATTCAAAGTCAAGGTATGATAATATTATAGAATCTAGTTAACATCCAACAAGAACCATAGGCAGAAAAAGAGATACAGCAAAAGGGAAACAATCAGGGGCCAATTGGAGTCTAGTCCTTCTCGTCCACCCTCCTCTCCTTTGTAGGTCCTCTATATTCAACGGTTGTGAGCTAGAGCTAGAGGATCCAATAGGCAGTTCAGATGGCCCTCTGTAACCAGGGCAATGAGTATTGAACGCTCCCTCAAACCCAGGAGGCAGAGGAATCCCAAACTGAGTAGCCAAACCTGACATCAAAGGATCAAAGAATTGTTGTCACCGGGCTTCTTTGGTGAGGACATAATTCTGCAGAGCTATCATCCTCTAATTAAAATTGTCTTAAAGAAGTGTAATTTGCTTGCTAAGACTCTCCATGGTGATACTAGAGCCACCAGTCCCTTCAGCCGCTTCTGTAGTGTCAGCAGGCTCATCTTCAGTAATTCTCGTGCCCTTTTTTCTACTACGCAACTTTGCAGCCTGCTTATTAAAGGGCTTGTAGTATTTAGTATGGACTGCCTCAAATACTGCATCATTGTCCTTCACTGATATTCCCGCTTCAATGCACAGCTCAAAAATCAAATGAGGAAACACTAAATTGGCCTTGGTCAAGTGAGCACACTGCAAAATTGACTCTAAAACGATCAGAGGGATGTCAACTACTTCCCTCTTCATCAATAGGTACATTAGCAGGGCACCTTCCTTAGTGGTGTCAGAGATGTGGGCACTAGGCATAACATTATGGCACATAAAATTTTGCCAGATGCAGGCCTCATCATTCATAACCTTCTTTTCGAGGTACACATGATCTTTGCCCCTTTCAACCCAAGTTCCACCCTCTACACACAGAGTACTAAGGACGTTGTCCCAGTAAACATCTTTTAGATTCTTTCTGTAGTGCTAGAATTTACACTTCTTCACCACTGGCAAGTTATAATGCTGACGCATATTTTCTTTTGTGAACTTCACACCTATTCAGCGCATCTTAATTATCAATGTGTCTTCAAATCTTATTGTAGTGTAGAACTCCCTAACCAAGTACTCATTACCATTCTTTCTTTGCTTCATCATTTCCCCCAACCCTCTTCGGATAGCCCGTTGGTAGAATTCACATTCTATAGTATCTGGAAATTCTCTTTCTCATAGTAGGCTTCTGCAATAGATGATGTTTCAGGCCTGCTCTTTTGCTTCAGCTTGGGCAGTGTGAGGAGGCATCTGAAAGAGCAAACACAACACACACAGAACACAAGCACACATGAACAAAAACACACCAAAACAAACTTCCTAAACTCCTAAGAAGGAAAAAAAAAACTAAGCTAGACAAATCCTAAGACACTGCACTCCTCTACCCAACTAAAACTGAGTAAGCTGAACTAGTTTGAAGAAAGGTTTAAAAGAATTAAGAGAAATCAATTACAAGTGAAGTTTAAAACTAGTCAGCGAAATCTGGAACAGAGAGGTTTCAGCCCATTCATCATGACTAAATAGGAACCTTGGTTGTGGCGAATGTGCATAATGGTCCTTGTTCTAGCTTTTGCAGAGACAATTGGTCATGACGAAACAACAGACCTCGCCGTGACGAAATATGATAGATTTTTGCAAAAACCATAGTTGAAATAGAGTAACCAAGAAATCTAGTAATGCCAAGCACAAAACTTGCAAACCAGTTCAATTTATCAATGAACAAAAGCCCAGAAACAGTCCACAATAGCGAAGACACCATCTTACAATCATTACCCCATTTAAAACCTCAAGGATTTGGTGACCTCCCTCTAAAAACTAAAGAAAACTGAACAATGAAAAGAAGAGGGAGAGAAAGAGTGAAATACCTTCAATGGATTAAACAAGGAGTGGAGCAAGAAGTCAGATTAGTGGAGACGGCCCTTGGTTGAGCAAATCACTAGAGCTTTAGAAGGAAGATAAAGGATGCGGGGAGGGAACTGGCTTTGAAGAAGAGAGAAAGGGTCTGAAACAGTTAGGGGAGGAGGGAACTGTAGAAAAGGGGGTTTTGGGAGGTGAAAAGACCAAAAGGGTTTAGGGTTTTTGGAAGTTCAAAGGAATTTGGATGGTTTTGGGGTAGTATTCAAAGGGCAGAAATTCCACTAAATAAATAAGGGTGAAACAGTAAAAACGAGAATCTGGAATTTCTGAAAATAAGGTGTTTTTATCGTGACCAAACAGAAATATAGTCCTGATTAAAAATTGTCTAGAGGTATTCGGGAAGTCAAGAAAGGCATAGTTAGTCACGGCAAACCAAGTATTAGTCGCGATGAAAATTTAAATCGAGAGCAACCTTAAAATGAACTCCTAATAACCCTTTTATCCAACAAACACTAAATTATAAGCTCCTAAGCCAAACCAGTAACCCAACACCCTTAGCAAAACAGGCCTCAGCTAACAAAAACCTCTAAATTAAACCAAAACTACCCCCAAAACAGCACCGTGCAACAATTATCAACCAGAAAAATAGCACAAAGCATCACGCAGGCCAAAGCTTGCAACAAAACTTAGGAAGATAGAACAAAATAAGGAAACACAATAACAAGGAGCAACAAACAAAACAAACTACAAAAGCAAAGAATATCTATACTATTAGAGAGTTTCCTCCCTCTCACAAATCCAACAATCTGAGTAACAAATGATATCACAAGCAATCTCAAAATGATAGAGGATAAGGAGAGGAAAGAAACGACTTAAGGTTACATTTCTACAGGCTTGCCATAGAAAAGCTTGAGAAGGTGTCCATTGGCTAGATATGTAGTGCCATCCTTTTCATCCTTGAGCTTAAAAGCTCCATAGCCAAGAACCTTGGTGATAGTGTAAGGTTCATCCCATCTCTCTTTCAGCTTCCTGTCTCTAAATTTGAAACGGGCTTTGAATTTGAGGACCTTATCCCTAAGCTTGAAAACTGTTCCTTAAAATACCACATTATGAATAGCCTTGCACTTTTCCTTGTATATCCAGGAGTTGTCGTAGGCCTTACGTCTCAATTCTTCTATCTCTTGGAGCTGAAATAGCTTTTCCTCGCCAAGTTTGTCCATTTTCTTGTTGCATGTCGAAACAGCCCAATAAGCTTTGTGCTCCAAGTCCACTGGTAAGTGGTATGATTTTCTATAGACAAAGCGGTATAGAGACATCCCTATAGAGTTCTTGAATGCTATTTGGTATGCCTAGAATGCATCATTAAGCTTTAAACTCCAATCTTTTCTTGAAGGTTTTACCATCTTCTCCAAGATCCACTTGATTTCTTGATTAGATACCTCTGCTTGGCCATTTGTTTGAGAGTGATAGGCGGTAGATGTTTTATGTGTGACCCCATAGTTAATAAATAGGAAATTGAGAAGCCTATTGCAGAAATGGGTTCCTTGATCACTTACTAAGGCCCTAGGAATCCCAAACTGACTAAAAATATTGTACTTGATAAACTCGATTATGGTTTTGGCATCATCTCTCTAGGTGGAAATGGCTTATATCCATTTGAAAGGTAATCAACTGCTAGAAGGATATAATTAAAGCAATTAGAAGGAGGAAAAGGACCTATAAAGTCAATACGCCAAATATCAAACATTTCATAAAATAACATGGGCTTTTAAGGCATCTCATGCCTCCAACTCAACACCCCCAAATTTTTGGCAAGTCTCACAAGATTTATAGAATTCATAGCAATCTTTAAATAAGGAAGGCTAGTAAAACCCACTCTCTAAAATTTTCTTAGCTGTTCTTTTTAAACTAAAATGCCCCCACAAGACAATGTATGGCAAGCAATGATGATTTGTTGTTACTCTTCTTGGGGCACGCACCGTTTTATAATCTGGTCCCCATACAGCCTCTAGAGGAATGTTTCATCCCACATATAATACTTAGACTCAGCTTGGAGCTTTTGCACTTGATAGATAGACATAGAAGGTAGGGTTAGTCTGGTCATGAGATAGTTCACAGTATAAGCATACCAAGGCTCCCTAAGAGCTATGGAACATAATATCTCATTAGGAAAAGAATCAAAGATAAGGTCAGATTTAGCAACTCCCCTTGTGTTTACTGGCAACTAGTTTAAATGATCGGCCACATGACTTTCGACTCCAGCTCGATTCTTGATCTCAAGATCAAACTCTTGCAAGAGGAGAGCCCAATGAAGCAACTGAGGTTTTGAGTGCGGTTTTTTAAAAAGATACTGCACTGTTGCATGGTCAGTGAATACAACAACCTTGGAATTAATCAAACAAGGTCTGAATTTATCTAGAGCAAAAATTATAGCAAAAAGCTCTTTCTCGGTGGTTGTGTAATTGACTTACACAACATCTAAGGTCTTTGATGCGTAAGCGATCACCCTTGAAAGTTTATGCTCTTTCTATCCTAGTGTGGCTCCGACAACAAAGTTAGATGCATCACAAGAAATCTCAAAATGTAGGTCCCAATTGGGAGCAACAAGATGGGTGGGGAAATCAGTTTAGCTTTTAAGGTATCAAAGGCAATTTTATAGCTTTCATTAAATTCAAACTCTGCATCCTTTTTCAAAAGGTTTGAAAGTGGTAAGGCAATTTTGCTAAAATCTTTTATAAATCTCCTATAGAATCCCGTATGCCCAAAAAAGGATCAAATTTCTTTGAGATTAGTAGGATATGGGAGGGAAGAGATAATTTTAATTTTTGTCTTGTCTACTTCTATGCCTTTGTAAGAAATCAAATGGCCCAAAACTATGCCCTCATTGACCATGAAATGGCATTTTTTAAAATTCAACACTAGCTTCTTTTCAATGCATCTTTGTAAAACCTTTTCTAAGCTAGACAAACAGGTAGTGAAAGAGTTACCATACACACTGAAGTCATCCATGAATACCTCCATGTAATCCCCCAAGAAATCATTAAAGATTGACATCATGCATCTTCGGAAGGTTCCAGGGGTGTTGCAAGGTCCGAGTGACATTCTTCTGTAATCTTAAGTCCCAAAATCACAAGTAAATGTTGTCTTCTCTTGGTCCTCCGGTGCAATGGGTACTTGAAAATAACTGGAAAAACTATCAAGGAAACAATAATGGGATTTTCCTGCTAATTTTTATAACATTTGGTCAACAAAGGAAATGGGGAAGCGATCTTTGCTTGTAGCAGTATTAAGTTCCCTAACGAGTATGAGTTTATTCTTTTCATTTTTCACTATAGTTAACCCACTCTTTTTGGGCACCACCTGAACAGGGCTAACCTATTTGCTATCCAAGATGGCATAAGTAATTCCCGCACTTAGAAGCTTTGAGATCTTCTTCTTAACTACCTCCTTAATCAAAGGATTGACTCTTTTTTGGTTTTCTTTTATTGGTTTTGCTCCTTCCTCTAAAAGGATTCTATGAGTGTAGATGGTTGGGCAAATACAGGCACATCAGCTAGAGTCTATCCTAGGGCTTTCTTACACTTTTTCAAAACACTGAGCAACATGCCTTCCTCTTCCAGGGAAAGGTAGTTAGCAATTATGATTGGGAGTTGCTCATTAGATTCCAAGAAAGCATATTTAAGGTTAAGTAGCAAGGGTTTAAGCTCAAAGAGTAGGAGGTTGGACTAAAGAAGGAATTAATTGAGAAATATCAATAGAAGAAAGTGCAAGATTACTCCCCTCCCCCTTCTCTGTCATGGAATGAACACCAAGGTTGATTGAGTTCGCCACTGATCCCTCCATTTCTCTAAGGGTTGAATCAACCAGCCGTTGATCATTATTAGCAACGGCCTTGGACACCATATCTGCATCACTTGAATAATAAGTTAGGGCACTATCAAATAGATATTTCAAAGTATGAGAAGAGATGGTGTAAGAGATTGGTTCACAAGGTGAAGTAGGAATTTTTATGGCCCTTAAACTGAGGCTCTTTCTGTGGAGTAAGTGGAAAGGTGGAACAGCAACAGTGGATAGGCACTCTGACTTTACAGCACTGTGAGGTGTTCATCATGGTGACTAGTACATTTCGTTATGGCTATCTGAAGGAGCAGAGCTAACACCTCTTGGGATGGAATTGTTCATCGTGACCAAGCCCTCTTCTCGTTAGCGTGAATAGGGAAGACAATAAGCTTCATCTTCAGAAATTGCAATACTCTGCCGCTCTTTCAGATCTAAATCTCCTGCAATACTAATAGAAAGTTCCTCTCTAAGAGAGTTGTCACTAATAATTGGAGGTATGGTGCTAATGTATGATTCAGATTCATAAGATGACAATATAAGTGGACGTGAGCCCGGTCGTATACAATTAACTATTACACAGTTAAGACACATCTCGCTGCCACCACACGAACATGTAGAGGGAAAAGAATAGAGGGAAGAAAATGAAGTAGGGGCTTCATCCTTATTAAGTAAGGACTTATGAATAAAATTCAAAAATATTAGAGATAACCTCACTCAATTCAAATTCAGAAACAGCATCATCAACAGCAACATCAATAACATATAAACCCAAAAGGGAGTAATCCTCATATGGATGCCTCATTGCCTCATACATATTGAAAGAAACTACTTGCTCTCCCACCTTTATGGTTATAACACCATCTTTCATTCAAATCATCATGTTTGAAGTCATCAAGAATGATCTACCAAGAATGAGTATGGATTCATGACACAACTCATTAACTATGTCAAACACATAAAAGTCAGCAGGAAAAAAGCAAACCCTTGACCTAAATTAGGATATCCTCTAGAATCCTCTTAGGCTTCCTCATTGTTCTATCGGCTAATTAGAGTGTAACAGTAGTGGTTTGCAAGATACCGATTCCTAAAGGTCTATACATCTACAATGGCATACATTTATAGCTGCCGCTCGATCAAGTAAGGCTCCTACTATGGCAAGTTTTCCTACAATATAGGGAATAGTGAAAGCATCGAGATCTTGGCATTTGACTGGGATTTGGGGTTTGAAAAAAGCTGAAACATTTTGGCTAACTTGAACTAACTAATTGTGTTTAAACCTTCTCTTATTAGTGTAAAGTTTTTTTAGGTATTTAGCAAAAAGTGGGGAATTCTTAATCAAATCAATAAAAGGTAAATTCACTTCAAGCTTACTAAAGAAATCCACAACCTCTTTCAAGGTTTTAGATGCCACAACCCTTTTAGACATAATATATGAATAGGGAAAAGGGAGTTCTTTACAATTTACCTCCTTACCGTTATGTATTAAGGCTCCCTTATTGCTTGCTTCTCCTTTCTTTGTAGTGGCTTTTCTTTAACTCTCTTGCACTTCCTTGGGTTGCTCCTCTTGGCATTCATTGGTGTCACCACCCTCTTTATCACCTCCTTATGGATCCTTAGATTTCTTGAGCAATGCTTTTTCTTTAGAGCTTTTAAAAAGCTTCATGGGTGAAAAAGGTGGGCTTTCTACTTCATCATCGTTGCCCTCCTCTTAAGCAAACTGAACTTGATTCCCACTCCTAAGCTCAATGGCATTGAGAGACTTAGGATTTATGACAGTGTTTAAAGGCATTATACCACTAGCTTTAGCTTGTTGATCGTTCATGGTATTGGAAATTTAAGTGACAAACCCCTTCTGATTCTCATGTCTAGATTTAAGTTGTTCAGTCTTTGAATACACAGTGGCAAAGTTATTCTCAAACTGACTTCCCATAGCCACCATCTTCCCTTCCACTTGGCTCATCTTATTATCTAGGGAAGCTATCTTGTTGTCACTATTGGACAGTTGGCTAGACAAGTTCTCAATCCTTTTCAAAATAATTTGCAACTCACTGCTTCTACCACTTGGTTGTTGTGGAGGATTAACTAGAACTACACCAGTAGAGGGATTGGGTCTCTGATAGTTACCTGAGGAACTACCTTGGTTGTTTTTTCCTTGGTAATTCCTAACTTGACCTTGATTGTTGCCTCCCCCCTACTTGAAGCTAGCATGATCCTTCCACCGGGGGTTGTAAGTATTAGAATATGGATCCTATTTTTGGTATTGGTTCGGCCTCTGTTGATACATGGCAGATACATTTTCAACGAGACCGATAAAATCTTCAGTTCTATGTATTAGGAAATCACATATGCTACAAAAAGCAGTGACCAAGGGTAGAAGCTCAATGTAAGGTTGATTACTCCTTAGATTCTGGACTGTAGAAGCCAATTTAGCCATGTCTTGGGCTAGTTTGACAAGAAGTGGATCCCTGTCTCCCTT